TTATTCGTGCTCGTTTTATTGCAGTATTATAATAAAAAGGTCCTAAATATTATTTAACGTTATTAAAAAAAATCAACAGTGGGCTATTCATATAAAAAATGATTTGCAAGAATTATGTTCTAGAAAAAGGCCTAGTATCTTTCATGTATACTGCCTTTTTGGTTTATTTGGACAGAGAAACATTAGGACGTATCTCAAAAATCACAGGTCAAAAATAGAGCATATCAGCTATTGAAAACCTAAAGTTCATAAAAGTCAAATAGCTATATGCTTTAAATGCTGGCAATTGGTAAAGATTACTGAAGCAGAGCCGAAAAAGATATATTGGGATGGATAGCGTAGATAGGATTATGAGATTAAATCGGAGAACTTGATGCAAAATCATTGGAATAATGAATGCTCCAAAACTAAAATGCAAGATGGAAGCACACAGGTTATCCAAAATATCATGCCAATCAAGTCTATGAAACTCAAAAGCTTTATGCCTAGTTTAATTAATGAGCCACATTCATTGACTCCTCCACTATTACCACCAAAGCCATTTGTATTAATTGGCGGTCTCTCGAGATACTCATGTAAACATAGTATAAATGCACTCAAGATTAAAAATCTTTGGAGTAATCAATCAAATATGCTTACCATTTCTAGCAGAACTAGTTTGGACCATATTGCTAATGCATATTTCAATTCTGTGTGAAAAAATGCAAAAGAGATAGACTTAATATCCTTTGATTAAATAATAGTATAAATTTATTTATCTTTATAATCTATTTACATATAATTATTGAGTCATATATTCGATTTTTTGATAGTTGTCCACTGTTTTCCTAATGCTATTTTTGAGATCACAATTGGGTAATATATATTTTTTATTTATTTACTTCTGATATAGGCAGTAAAGTGTCAATATAAAATAAAAACTTATTTACAAATACTTAAATTATATGCTATCAGCTTTATCTATGTATTTAGTGACCAGCATTAATTTTGTATTTCACTGGTAAGCCTCTTTTCGTAGGTTCTAGATTTTAAATAAGTTAAAATATATATGAATATTGGGTTTGAAAAAATAGTTATAAATAATTTCTAATATAACAATTATATTTATCAAGATAGCTTCATCTTGAATTTTTATTTTTTAGTAATTGAGAACCTAACTTTAAAGATTTAAAATGCTTCCTATCTCATATTACAAGCTTTTTTGATGTCTTTGCTTTTTTATTATTATCATCAATACTTATTTCCATATTATCTTCTGAATCTGAATTGCTAAATAAAGAGCCAAATTTTCTATTTTGCTTGATCATTGTTGAATGAATGAAAAAAATAATACTATGTCATATACCAGAAAGAACTAGTAGATTTCCATAAACCAGAATATTAAATCGGAAGGCAAGGTTGTATATCAGAATCCCGACACACAAAATCCCAACACACAAAATCCCGGCAACAAAATCCCGATACACAAAATCCCGACAAATTAAAATCCTAAAAATATTAAAATTAGGAATTTAATTTGTCGGGATTTTGTGTATTGGGATTTTGTTGCCGGGATTTTGTGTGTCGGGATTTTGTGTGTCAGGATTCTGATATACAACCGGAAGGCAACTATCTGGCCCTGTTTAATATGAAAATCTAATTTAAGTTTAGAAAATACCAATTGCTCACCCTCAAATACTCCAAGTAGGCACACTACACAAAGTAAATTGCGGTGATCTTTTAGATTCCAATAGAACTGGCAAATGGTGTTAAAGTTAATTGCCATAGTAGAGAAGATCCTGAATAACTTAGGAACATTTGAACCAAGATCCAATCTTTTTATCTTTGCATATAAGGTTGGATATGCCACCTAAAAATAATTATTAATAGTGTTGGATAATAGTTGGAGGCCTTGGATTAGATCATTAACATATTTTCAATGATTTTGATATTGTGAAGATGCCATATTTGCTGTGGTATATGGTTCATTATTGCTACTCGTGAAAGCACCAAAAGTCTCTATCATTTGTTTGGCAAATTCTTTAGATTGGTGTAGTGGGTTATAGCAAGTGTGCTGATAATAATGATCTACTACTGCTTTGGCATTGTCTGCTACCACAGGATTTGAAAGAGTATAAAAATCTACTATTATTTTACCCAATATATTTTTAGAACATTGAGGCTTGAGAACATGTCTATATCCACTAAGATTAATGCTACACATAACTTTTTTTGTTGTTTCATCTGCAAGATTAAGCTTTTCTTTTGAGTTTTTGTTAAAATGCCTTAGGAATAATATAATGCTCTAGGGGTTTTTTCTAAGCCTTTGTCTGCTGATTATGTGCATATAATATTTTTGCCCAAAGATGATAACAATGCCCTCTAAACTATTTGTAGTAAGTTTTAGAAGTTGTAAAGTGTGCCTATCTTGCAAATTCCATCTATTGTTTACATATTGAATTGGTGTTAAAAATATTATTAGAATATAATTTATTAAAAATCTCTAACTCTAGTAAGTTTAGAAATTCCGTAGGTACTTCGGAATAGGATGGGATTGATTGGACACTTTGGGGTAGTAAAATTTTATCCATCACCAGTTTTGTATTAATATAAAGTTGATCATCTCTTTGCCGTTTCTTTTCTAAAAGCTTCTCAAAAAATGTGAATTTTGGACTCATAAATATAAAAGATTGTGAATAGTTAGTCGATTTAAGATCTCTCGCCAAAAAATCTTCAAATATCTACAGATATTGGATATATTCTTGAGATTGCTCCTTTGTGAACAGACATGTCATGCCTTGGGTTTTATGCTTGACCAAAATAAAAAAATAAGTTAGTTTATTGTCAAAAAATAATAGATAGTTATAAAAAAATATATTAATTCTATCTATTTATCCAAGTGGATATATTCATATCATTCTACATGGTGTAGCCTGGTGGTTTAAAATCTGGGAAGTCTGTTGGACCTTCTTCACCTTGCATATAGAAGAATGATGATCACACCTTAGAAACTATGAAAGGTAGAATACCTTATCGAAATATATGCTTGTATAAAAAGTCAATTAGCTTACTTTCTAAGGATTATAAAATATGTTTATTTTTTTGATATAACTAGTTTTAGCATTGTAACTGGGACCCTCTTCAATGATCAAATGGTCTGGATCTTTGACTTTGGCCTTTTTTATAATATGTAGTTCTTTTTTACGTAAGTTTCTTTTGGAGGTCTTTGATAATAAAACATTTGGCGATGACATAGTGATAATATAGTAAGTAATTTTATAAAAATAAAAAAAGGACAAGATGTTCTCTTGAAAACTAACAAATTCAGAACAGAACTTTGTAGTGGAGATGACCCTTTTATTATAAATTTCAGTATATAAGATTTTTGACATGAAGCAGTATATATGATATAAATGACTTAGCATTATGATGATTCAACATGAGTCAACTAACAATTCTTATTTTGTGGCATAATAATTTAACACGATAATTCTATGCTAACAAACAATTACATATTTACTATATCCAGCACCACAATTATTAAACATGCCAATAATCACACATTTTCCATATTTGGGATTAGATCATTAATAACTAGTTAAACAGGTATAGTTATATGGGGTACAATGAGAATTTTACACACTATTTAAGTCTATTTTACAAATTTAAAATAACTGTTAGCTGTATAACAAACATGTTGATCAAACATCTAGCATCACTAGGGTATCTGTGCTGGAAAAATAAAGCATGTATGTATTATGTTATATTGTATAATGCAAGTTAACGAACCCATGGGACTGCTTTTATTTTGGTCTAGGTTGAAGCTAAAATAGCAATTGTTTTTTTCTCAAGTATTGTGAGAAGACAGGTTCAAATGATAAAACCTTGACCAGCTTTAATAGTCAATGGCCTGCATTAAATTTTATGCAGTGTTACTCTCCTGCAGAATCATTTCTCATGGTTGATTTTTTTTAATAACGTTAAATAATATTTAGGACCTTTTTATTATAATACTGCAATAAAACGAGCACGAATAA